AGTGTCGTGATGGCAATGAAGTTTACACATCAGTACAAGGTGCATGGTTGGTTTGTAGGGTGTTGTGATGGCAATGAAGTTTACACATCAATACAAAGTGCATGGCTGTTTTGTAGGGTGTCATGCTGACAATGAAGTTTACACATCAATACAAGGTGCATGGTTGTTTTGTGAAGTCTCGTGATTTGCAGGCAGAGTAGTAAATCAATAAATTTTTATTGTAACACTAAACACAAGTACAGTTTGTATACTTGCTTTTCCTTACACGGGGATGTCATTATTACTAGAGTATCCCACCTGCTGCCTCTGTTACAGAATGTCTAAATCCAATGTTCTTTGGTTCACAAGAAACATTGCATTTATTCAGATTGACTGCACTACTCAGGTGCTGGTCATTCTGGTTACAACTACCTTGAAGCTCTAACTTCTAGATATCACCAAAATGACCCTTGAAGAAGAACATGTTCTTAATGACATTGAACAACATGCAGTATTACAGCAATATCCTCTCCTGAACAGAATAGGTATTATACACTCCAGAATGAAATGAACGACTTTCTCATTCAAGTGTTGCCTGAGATAATCACATATACAAAACAAGGAATAAATATTACAAGATGTATGGTATATTCATACACAACAAATACTACATTTTATATTCTTCTGTGTACCGTTCGTCTCTAATATGTTTAGTTTCTATAATTTCTATTTTGGAGCTTGCTAATTCTGATTAAAGGCAATTACAAAATTCAGCCTGCAGAGGAATGTTTTGATATCAGTCTGGACAAGGAACTTTTCTTCCATTTCATGGAATAGTTGTATTGCATCCTATTTTACCTTATGTACAGAGGACCGGTTTGCGACTTTCACATGGGACAGAGATATTTCTGAATTCTTGTCATCCAACTTTCTGATTGGCTAGCTAGACTGAAGGTGTTCCATGACTGCAGTTTTAGAACTTTCAAATAATACTCTTCCTGAAATACGAGAAGTTTCTTTTATGCTTTGAAGCAGCTCGAATTTCCTATTCCCCTATTAACTATTGAACAACATTATTTATTTTTAGTTTAATATTTTTATAATTTTTTTCAAAAGCATATTTTTTGTTAACTGTTCAAGAAGCGGTTTCATCAATTTTGCCCTATCTTCACAAAAATGAGAACTATTAAGGTAAATTTTTTTGTTGTTGACAGCTAATCAAATCGCTTCATTCTGTTGAAATTATTATTTCCAGAAAGTTTGAGGTTTCTGTTATTATTACATCTATAATTATGATTTCTTGTTCAATCCCAGTTTATTCGTGAAAACAAACAAAATAATTACTGAACATCAAAACATATTAAAAACATCAAACTTAAAGCTGAAACTCATTTGGTTGAATGAAGTGTGAGTATAACTTTATCAAAACTGGTGATCTTTTGAATTTAATTAATTTAAACCATTAATATTATGTATTCATTTTATACGGTATAATATCATTTTAACATCGTTATTTTGTTGGCGAGTTCTTTTGAATTATCTGGTAAATATAATTCAAGGTCCTGTCCACGTATCAATAATAACATACTTTATTTCCTATTTCAACATTTTTAAATTCTACAAACTTAAACACCTGTTCACTGCCAACAGTGCCGTAGGTTTACGTTACAAATGACATTAAATAACGAAAAACAAATGAACTTACTTATGCAAAACAACTGCGATAGCTAACATTGACTTGTTCAATCTGTCTTGAAATCACACTTCACAACCATCTGGTATTTATAATTTAACTTCGAATGTGTTATTACACCTTGCGTTCCATTCTTACAGCTTTCTAGATGTTCTACTTCTTCTAGATCTATTTCATCATACCTTCTGATCTTAATGTCATAATTAATAACCCCAGCTCCCTCTAACTAACATCTAAATTAAACAAACTACAATATTATAAATATAGTTTATGACCATATAAAATTCAACTAATACAACTTAAAATGAATGTAAGTAATTTTATAAATGAAAGCACACGCACTCGTATATAGAGAAGTAGACAGCACTACAGAATAGAGGGGGGGAATCTTTTTCAGAAAAATTTGGATCTGCTATATATAAAGGATGTAAGCTATTCACCTTAGCTTAAATTAAATTTGTAAACGAAAGTATTCACAACATAAGGGAGTAAAAACAAAAGTGAGCTTATCTTCTCTAATAGTAGTAAGCTTCTGAGTTGTAAACGACTTTCTAGAAGTTTGAGGTGGTTGTTTAACCTCGCCCTCCTGGCTACACCAATGATATCTGTAGATATACCTTACTTTTGAACCTGTCCGTGACTTCAGTGCATAAATCTACGACAGTACTTGAAACTAACGATTATAACATTTGTTTGTTTCGTAAATGAGGTATACTCTCTTTATTTTTTAAATGTTCCTTTCAATAGCACCGTGGTTAGGTCCTCACATTTGGTCAATGATAAATGTACGGACTTACAATGCTAAAATACAGGGTTTAATTACCTGCAGTGGACAAAGTGCGGATATTCCATTGTGTACCTTTACATTCATACATAAAATATGTAATGCATTTAGTTTATTACTTTTAATATCATACTTCTATTATATTTTGTTGTTAAGCGCAAAACTACATAATGGGCTATCTGTGCTCCTTCCATGTCGGGTATTGAAACGTGATTTTTAACGTCAAAATTTTATATAGATACTGTTTTGCAATGTTACTTAGTACATGGATTTAGGATTAACATAATGAGATATTTGGCTTACGGCCGAGAATACCGTTGTTGCGTATCTGCTTGTTTGTTAATTTCCGGTATAAATTCTTTCAGATAAACTTCAGCGATACAAGTCCTTCCTTGATTAACCCA